GTCGTGAGGAAACGCTGCCAGAAGGCTCCAGCGCTGCGAAGCGGTGTCAGCTCCAGCCAAGCGAAAGAACAGAAGCCCCAGAGCTGCTGGGGCACCTCGGAAGCCTGTTTGTGATTTGCAGGCAATTTGTTCCCTCGACAGGTTGATCTCATTACCGGGTTTCCATTTAGCAGGATTTTATCGCCTGTAACATTTGTGTGGAACAGATTCACCCAATTAAACCGTTATTTCCTTTAACAGCCCCGACAGCCGCGTCTCGGTGTTTGCTGGAACATTTTCCTCTCCTGGAGCCTGATCTCGCTCCATCCACCCACCTCGGAGCCCCCACCCCTCCCCAGGCACCGACTGGCACCCCTGCAGCTCTGCCAGCTCTCTCCCTCTGCCATGCCAAGTGGGCACAGTGGCCCCCAGCCCCTGGATGGCCCCGAGCCCTGGACACCCTCAGCCCTGCCAGAGCCACCAGTGACCGGTCCTTTCGCCCCATTACTGGGCACCCCCCGCTGCAGCCTTGGGACCAGAGCCGCGCTCCCTGCACTGCCGGTGCACGGGAGGAAGAGCCGGGGGGCTGAGCGACCCCGCTCCGTTCTGTTCCGTGACACTGCAGGGACTGTTCCAGCATCCACCCGGCAGCAGGGACCCTCCGGCAGCTCCGGACCTGGCGCTGGGCGCTGGGCGCTGCACTCAGACCCCGCCTGCTGTCGGGACCCTTAAAAACGCTGAGGTGACTCCCCCCAGGGAGCTGGTGTGTGCTTGGGGAGGGCCTCTCTCCCCTGCTTCAGGGACAGAAACAAGTACTTTTTCAGCTCACAGCAGCCTTCCCTTTATTCTGATTTTAGCCATTCTTGGACCCTTTTAAAATTAATTCATACTTGTCTGTAGCAACAAAACGAGAAGCGGCAGCTCTGGACATGAAGCAAGGTTCTATTTATGACAACTCCACACGTTCTCACTTTCAGCAGAAACTTTGCCCTTTTTTTGCCATGCCCTTTTTACTTGAGCTTAGCACTGTTTTCAGAACAAAGTCAGGAGAGGGAAGTCCACGTTTTAAAAATGAGGAGCAGCACGCCGAGAGCTTGTTTTCATTCTTTGTATTACAAGGAAGCCGGGTCTTCCTGAGCAGCTCTTGTCTAGACAGGGACCATCTGAACATTGTTAATTTTCAAAAGCACTGACAGTGTCATCTCGGGAGTAGGACTTGATTACGTTTGGAATAGAGTAAAAGCAGCCAGAGAACAACAGAGCTATGGCATCGTGAAAGCTTCCACCTTTGCTTTTCCTTCAGTGCAGATACAAAAACCAAAGACACAGGATAAGTGTGAAGGGGAGGGCGGGTCAAGACACAATCCTCACCATCCCGTCCCGAGCACAGTCCAACGTTCCAATTACCGTATTTCACCCTGTTAATAAAACAGGCCTTTGGGAATGGTACAGCAGCACAAAGAGGTCAGCATACATACTGGGTTGGTTGCTCAGACTACAGCAGATGTGACACTACTGAACAGCTACCCACCAACCGTTGCTCCACTTTTTCATCTTTTTTTTAAACTTTTGCTTACAAACCTTGGCGTAACCCATCGACCTTATTAAACAAGGCCACGAACGCACGTTTCCTGAAGGCGCAGGCACACGGTGCCCAGCTTCATCAGCTCTGCAGAGCTGCCTCACGGCTTCAAGTCTTCAGATGACTGCGGTATCAAGCCGTACTTCTGCCTCAAGATTTCCACTGTAGATGTCAGAGCACTGTGGGGCAAAGCAGAACCATTGGAAAAAAGCTTTTTAAGGATTAAATTGCATTTTCTGGGCAAGAGCAATCAGCTAGACACAGCATGAGGAGAATATGAACTCCAGAAACTAGAGTGTTTCACACAGAAGCTTCTAGAAAGGCATCTCCTGGGCTCGGGACTGGGAGTGCTCTTTCAGGACTTCCAAGTGTGCTGGTAATTAAGCTAAACAACATTAACATGAAGGTCCCACCGCCATGGGAAAAGCAGCAAAACATGACCCACCCTAACTTGAGAGCTTCATTTCATTTAAAATAAAGTTACAGCCGTGTTCAGCCAAGAGTGCTCACCAGCCAGGACGAATGATGGTGAATTTCCCTGGCACAGACAAATCAACCACAGTTGATCCCAAACGACACTCCGGGCTCTGGACATCTCCTATGGGGCCTCCATCAATGATTAAGGACAACTGAGGCCACAGGTCCTGGAATTCCTGAAAAAGAGATGTGGCCAACGCTCCTGAAGGTGGTTTGTGCCTGTGTTCTATGGGGCACCACCGCAGGCTCTGGTGTCACGGCAGGTGGTCTCTCTCCTTCCTCTGTTTCTGCCATCAACATGTCCCTGTTTGATTTCTGAGAAGAGATTTACCTCAGACGCACAGGAAAGCCACAAGGATTCTCTGGCTGAAGGCCTCTTAGCTGCACTACTGTTTATTAAGGAGCACACACAAAAAAATCCACAAAAAAAAGGCTATGACAACATCTGGGCCCAAGGACAGGGCGTCTATCCGGGGCTGTGCCCACCCACACCATCGCAAGGGCCGCAAGCTCTGCAGGATACCCTGAGCTGCGTCACTGGGCTGCGAGGAGCTGTTCAGCCAGCAGCACGCTCGTTCCACAGCCATCCCTCCTGCGGTAATTCCCATCTTTCAGATTTGGCACCCACTTCAAAAGCTGCCTATAAGCCTTTTAAATATTTTCAGCTCTGCCCTCCTCACTTTTTAAGGTGAGGATCACAGCAAGACAGCCACCGCACACCACATATCCCAGGCTGCTTTGGCTAGAGATTATCATTTTAAAAACAATAAACAGTACCAACAGAGAAATCCTTGTTTCAGTGCTAAAGCTACCTTCTAACTACAAGAGCCTGGGGCTCTGACAAACCCCCACAGTAACGTCATGGAGTGGCAAAACCAGCCTTACCGAAACTGTCAGCGTGCTCGGCTGGCAGCTGATGTTAGCGCTCGTCAAAGCCAGTGGTCCAGAGCAAGCTCGTGCCAGCTCCCTAATAAAAGGATGGTTTGGAATACGAACACCGACCAGCTACGAGGAAGAAGAGAACACGGTGTTAGACACAGCGACCATTTTTAGTCTTGAACTGCCTAAAGCCGATGCTCTGCAGAACCAGCACATCAACACCTCAGATTAAGGGAGTAGAACATCTCCCTGGTGAGGAAAGGCTGAAGGAGCTCTGTCTCTTTAGCTTGGAGGAGGCTAAGAGGTGACCTCATTCACATTTATAAATATATAAAGGGTGAGTGTCAGGAGGACAGAGCCAGGCTCTTCTCAGTGATGTCCAATGACAGGACAAGGGGCAATGGGCAAGAGCTGGAACACAGGAGGTTCCACAAAAACATCAGAAAAAACTTTTTCCCTGTGCAGGTGCTGGAGCCCTGGCCCAGGCTGCCCAGAGAGGGTGTGGAGCCTCCTGCTCTGGAGACTTTCCAACCCGCCTGGACACGTTCCTGTGTGACCTGCTCTGCGTGACCCTGCTCTGGCAGGAGGTTTGACTAGATGATCTTTCAAGATCCCTTCCAACCCCGACATTCTATGATTCTGTGATTCCTGGAGCAGGAGGAGCCCAAGAAGTACCCATGTGAGGGGTACGCGTGGGGGAAAAAAAACATGAGGCCAGCACAAACACGCACCGACGTGAAAGGGTTCAAGTCCTTGTTCAGCTCTTCTGACCGCTCCAACACCAGCGTCACTGGGCCCGGCAGCAGGTCCCGCAGCAGCTCGTCCGGCACGTTCACCCGGCAGTACCTGCGGGGAGGGGAACCCGTAACACCGCGGGCTCACCTGGACCGAGGGGAAGCAACGGCCCTGGTGTGGCCAGTACCCCGGGTGGCAG